CGGTACGAGTCCAAGCGGGCAGAGTGAAAGGCAGATCATCTTCCCACTACAAAGTAAGGCGGAAAAAGCATAATTTCCCAATGTCTGGAAACGTAAACCATCTAAGCATGCGATGTATCAATTTGTACTGGAGTAGGTCACAGAACATCCCTGCACAAAGATGAACAATGATGACAGTTTAGCTGTGTTTTGCTCTACTTATTCAATTCAAAGGTGCCTGTTCTAGTTTTACCTACTGATTTGCATCTCTACCAAAGTAAAATCAATATAAGCCTACCTTGTATGAGATAGGGACACTTTCCAGTGTTAAATATACCACAATAATCGCTGACTGAAAATATGAACCTTGTGGGTAGATCCTTTGCTGATGATAGGGCACCCAAGATGTGATAAAATTAGTGTCAATGACAAGAAATTAATGCTTTCGTTTGCGAAGTAATGTGACGCATCGAGGCGCGTCATCAATTCACATGACATGCATTCACAAACTTGGTGTCAATACTTCCACTTTAATTGCCCACAGGTCAAGAAACCCTTAAATGAAGGCTGTTGGAAACAACGGTGGGCGGCTCGAAAAGACTAATCGACAGTGCCTAAAATGCTTCATTCGGAAGGTAAGTTGGCAGGGGAGACGAAGTATTGCCTGACCACATAAATGAAACATTGTATATTTCATCAAACATAGGGAGGATAAAGAGGGGAACAAGCGTAATACTTTTCTCACCTAACAATCTGTGTGAATGGTAACCACTCTGGTGACCGTCTTGTGTTTGCCGCGTAGGATAGCCTTCAATTCATGCTATAACCTCGCTTCTACCCCTTTTGCCTGGAGGCAATAACTTTTAGCCATCTCTAATGCCCTCTACTACCAAATGAAAACCTCGAGACGTTGAAATAAGCCCTCTCCAAAAGGTGTTCGAGAAGACATTCGAAGCCATCTCAGACGGCGGAGATTATTTCTTATTGTCATCGATAAAACCCAAACAAACGTACGAAATGGGATTGTGTTTGCAATTAAGTGTGACGCAGTGGTGAGTTGTAGACTCAGCAACTTATCGCGCTTGCATAATTCACCTACCCCTGTTCTTCGGTTCGCTTAGGTTACCATAAAATACCACAACCAAATGCGTTCCTGAAAAACGAGCGATTAAGAGACATGGATGTAGAAATGGAATAATGGTCAATGATGTTTCCCATCGATTGACAAAAACCTCCCAGAGATAGGAAAACTATTTCGCTATGAGAATCAAGAGAAAGTATCAACTACTCAAATACAATTACCGAATCAGGCAGCAGTTGAACTGGATGAGCTTGGACTTCACCTCTCCAAGTCTTCGGTGGAATCCCAAAGGCAAGAATAGCTGTGTGGATGACGAAAAATTGGAGCCAAATGTTAAGACAGCTGAACGTTGGAACATCCTCATGTGAGGGGTCGACAACGTGATCCAATGGAAAGGTGAGTCGGTTTCCAACACCACTGTCAGCCTCTCTACTATCATCTGCGGTTTGACCACTTTCATTGCAGATGTGAAGGGTCTCGTCGAGGGAGCCACGAGCCATAGATCCCTCCCAGGAGGTATCGCGATGCAATGGACACTCCTCCGTGGCAGCTATGCACACCTAATGGGCATAAGACGCAGGTTGGTGGCATGTACTACCTTCAAACATGGCTTTCAGGCGTACAATTCCTACCGATTCTTAACCTTCATGATTCCCACCTCTAGCGATACCACAGAAACTTGAACCAAAATCTGGCACCCCTTGATATGCAGATAGATTCAAAGCCATTAATTTGATTCACTTGAAAATAACACTACATCCAAGTGCAATGTAATACCTTTGTTCTCCTTTGGTTCGGATAAAAGTAGGCATAGAACATATGAGAAATGGTGTTTTCACAAAGGTAGATGCTACTCACCCTTCGAAATTGGCCGAAGAATTCGCTGAAGGTGAGAGCCTCATCTAGCAAAAGAGGATCATCCAAACCCTGAAATTAAAAAAAAAAGCATTTTGGTTAGTATCGTGATCCAT